TTTTCAGCAGAAATATCTTTTTTATATTTTTATGATTAAATATGATGAAATATGACTACAAATCTTGAATAACTTTTTTTCAAAAAGGGGCGTGGTCACCAAATTCTCAGGTATCATCAATAACTGCCATATCTAACTACTACAACCTTTGTTTTTAGCAGAAATACCTTTTTTCATATTTTTTATGATTGAATCTTCAATGGCTTTTTATAAATGGAGAAGAGTCCTTTACGAGGGTTAACAGGAGTATGAATTAGACAGACTCTAATGTTTTAAAACATTTATTAAAGATTTATTTGTATGTGAAGGTGCGGACCTGTAAAGGAAAAGAGTGTGAGTTAAGGAAAATGAATAAATGTACAACATTTAAATATACTTATCCTTTTCTCCCTTGTCTGCCCTCTTTAGGCGTTCCGGCCAAATAAGTCCTGAGGAGCCGGAGCACCTAAAGAGGATTCCGGGTTCATCCACTCTGCAGAGAGGGTGGAGGGGTTTCCTGGGTTTTATCTTTCCAGTTTAGTATAGTTTTAGAATAAATAAATCATTTGTAAATTTAAATAATAATAATAAAAAGAGTGTAAAAGCACTACTTTAATTATTGCTGTAGGGCTGCAGTTAGTATTGCTTAATTACTGTCATATGCTATAAAAGCAGGCCACCAACTCTGAACAGAGAGAGTGTTGCATGACATGCTGTCCAATGTAAATAAACCTGCACCCTGGGTGTGCACTTTGTTCCTCCAACATCTTCATAAGTGCCATCCTGACATGACAAGTGTCACAATCTTCAATAAATTTTGTTCTAAAAGGGGCGTGGTCACCAAAATCTCAGTTATAATCAATAATTAACATATCTAAGTACTGCAACCTTTGTTTGCAGCATTTATCTCTTTGTTACATTTTTATGATTAATTATCAATCTTCAATAGCTTTTGTTCTAAAAAGGGGGCGTGGTCACCAAATTCTTCAGAATGTGATAAGAGAGCAGTGTTGTGTCCATTGCACAATGGTATGTGATTTTTGATAATTGTATATACTATGTGTATTTGCATATTACTCATAAAATAATGAAATGTAATGCCTGTTACAATAGAACATTATTTTATCTCCGTAGCAGTGGAACTGGACCACATCCAGCTTTGTGGAATCAGCTTCAACACCACTGACAAAGCCATTCCACTTTTTGGTCCGGGATGTCTTCTTGGGCCATTTCTACACACTCAATGTGGAACCATCCCTGGCAATTGTCACACTGAATCTGCATGAATATTAATGTTGGTCATTTAACACTCCTCTTAAAAAAAGAAAAACAAGCAAATACTGCTCTTACCCAAGTAGCTCCATTTGCGTTTGAGTTTTGGAGCCCACACAGCGAACAGAAGTCTGACGCTGTTCATAGCAAATACAATACAAAATTAATTGAAATTATAGTACAAATATAATCATTCAAAAAAATTATAATGCTGTCACCACTCATTCTGAGAATCTCCTCAGCCATCTCCTTTCTCAGATTTCCCATGGCTTTTTGGGTTGTCTCCACTTGAATGCCCTTGGGGATATAAGGGAACGATATTGCCAAAGCTTTAACCATCTAAAAAGAAATGAATAAAAATGGATATTAAGTGATCATGATGTGTCAGTCATTCATCACTAAAGCTTGTTCTTTACGTACCTGCATGACAAAAACTCCACAGCTGACAGAATCCTGTTGGTGTGTGTGTGGAATGTTCCCTGGTTTCCATGTAATATGGATCCAGTCCTCCTTCCCCAAGCGATTCCTTCTCATTTTAAAGTATTGTCTGTGAAATGCATAATAGATAGACCTAACATTTACTGCCCTTTTATGGTTACATGTACTTTTCATTAATAAATTCACCCAAATCTTTGAGCAGCCATTTGTGTGTCATCTGCTTCTTTTAATGTTTTTAATGGGTCCAGCATAAATATCTGTTGTGTGATAGCATTCAGATACTGGTGGAGAAAAAAGTAAATGTTGTTTATGATAAAGTTAAACTTTTTCACATTCCTCTTTTACTTACCACACACTTCCAGTGACACCCGGTGTTCACAAATCCAATGACTCCATCGTAATCTTCAAAACAAACCTTAACAAAAAATATATATAACTATCCCTGCTCTGGGAATGTTTAAATTTGTGTTTTATGAAAAACTATAATATTCATGCTGAATTTGTTTCAACACAATTTATTTGACTATTGTTGTAATTTTTATGAGGATCAGAGCACACTTCATAAACAAATGATCCAGAAACACTAGAAATTGCTAAGGGTTAACATGCTCTTTCCTCCCACTGTATAACTATACATAGATAGGAGGGTAAATACAAAGAGAGGGTGATATAGAATGAAAAATGCCAGAGATAATAATAATAATGCATCGGTTATATATAGAGCTTTTCTGGACACTCTAAGACGCTTTACATGTCATTATTCATTCACTCTAAACACGGTGGTGATAAACTACTACTGTAGCCACAGCTGCCCTGGGGCACACTGACAGAAGCGAGGCAACCAGTCTGTGCCATCAGCCCCTCAGACCACCACCAACCATTCACACACACACTTGACTCATTCTAGGCAATGGGGGTGAAGTGTCTTGCCTAAGGACACAACTGCAGTTTGGCACTTTACAGCCGCAGCCGCAGATAGATGGAGATATAGGTAGAATAGGGAGATGGAGGAGCTCGGTCATACGGGAGGAGCTTGGAGTAGAGCCACTGCTACTGCTTCTCCACATCGAGAGGAACCAGTTGAGGTGGCTCAGGCTCCCTGGGGAGGTGTTCCGGGCACGTCCCACCGGGGGGAGACCCCGGGGAAGACCCAGGACACGCTGGAGGGACTATGTCTCTCAGCTGGCCTGGGAAGACATAGTCTTTTTTTTTACACAGATCTTTTGACACAGTCCTGCCTTCGCAGATTCACAAGGGTAACTTTGACTGTGTGCGTCTGTACCCAGATTTGTGTGTGTGTAATTTGACATTTGTATCTGTAACAGAACAATCTGTATGTTAATAACCACATTGTAAGAAGAGAAGAACAAAAGTGGCAGAAGTGTGTCAAAATGTCTTTTGACACACTTCTGGTGTAAGGAGTGTGTCAATTTGTAATTGTAATGAGGTTGATCTACTGTAGCACTGTACCAGCAGATGGTGAAGTTGTAGCTGGTTATTACACGCACAGACAGACAGATCTCACAACAGCATCATAGGGCGAGAGCAAAAAGAGCAGAGTTTGTGGCACTAAAGTGTAGATTTAACGAAAACCGAAGGATTGAAGAAGAAAAAAAGGTAATGATGACAAGGGACACTAAAATTCCCACAAAATACGACATATATGAAAGCTGCAGGTTCTCTGTCAGCTGAGGTCCAGCTGTTTTAGTTTACATTGATAGTCTTGTTCTGTCTGCAGTTCTGAAAGAATCCCCCGAGCACGTGGGTCCTTCAGCTCCAAGCTGGTAGGACCGTATCCAGATAATATAATAGATCCATGTATCATACAGGGGTGTGAATGGCAGGATTTTTCATAAAAAATAATCAGCTGAGGCAGTGTATCTGGACCATAGACTGTATATATTAACGGACGTAGTCACGCCTATCGCCGCCGTTCTAACTAACGTGCCAAAAATTAGCCTCTCCTGGAGCAAAATAAAATGGCCGCGGGGGCTGGAAAATGCATCTGTGCACGCGTCAGCCGGCTCGCGCATGCACGAACATGCACGCGCCCCATTCATTTTAACGACGGCTTTAAAAAATCACAGCGAGTAAACAAGAGTGGTCCGTGAAAATTCACTCCCCTCAGCGTTGACACACATGTGAAACGGAGCTTTGGGCCAAGAGCCAACTTACGGACCAGCCTGTAAAGACGTTTTTGAGAGGTCAGAAGCTACGTACATTTGCATTGAATAATTCCCTTTCCTGGTCCAGCCCCTCTGTCCCGGTGTGGTATTGCAGCATGTCAGCACCCGTCATTTTGGCCACTTTAGAGCCGGGACCCGCCTACACTGATCTGGACATTAGGTTTTGGTTTGCTTGCGTGTAATAACCAGTAATAACCAGCTACAACTGCACCATCTGCTGGTACAACCACATTACAATTACAAATTGACACACTCCTTGCACCAGAAGTGTGTCAAAAGAGATTTGTGTGTAAAATGAGAGCCTGTGCGTAGCACTTCGGCTTTTTTTGTTCTTCTCTTCATACAACGTGGTTATTTACATACAGATTGTTCTCTTACAGCTACAGATTGTTCTCTTACAGATACAAATGTCAAATTACACACACACAAATCTGGATACACATGCACACAGTCCCAGTTACACTTGCCAATCTGCGAAGGCAGGACTGTGTCAAAAGATCTGTGTGTAAAAAAAAAACTTGTGTGTAAAACATACCCTCTTTTTTTACACACACAGATCTAGTTACGCACAGACAAATGTATCTACAAACACACAAATGTTTTTTCTACACACACAAATCTGGGTGTGCACACACAAATATTATTGAAACAATAATAGCTCCATAGATGGAGTTCACAACTTACCTTTCTTAAGCCCTGTCTTGACATTTCCTCCCGTGTTCCAAATAGAATCTTTTGCAAGGACTGATGGTTTAGTTGATACAAACGATTTTCCACATCCAAAGAATTGAGCATTGCTCTTACATAACACTCGATAACCTATTGTAGAGAAAAATATCAAATACTGTAACTGTCAGTTTGTGTGTGTGCATCCATATGTGTGTTATTGGTCTTGCCTCTCCAATGATGAGCTCATGGGGCTTCAGAGAGAGAAGTTCTTGGTGCCTCAAAGTGATTGCTAACTTTTGCCTTGTATTGACCAGTATAGCCACAATTCTTTCTGTTGTTTCTTGGTTCCAAAGACTTTCCAACTAATAGGGGAGAAAAATATACTCAGACATTATGCAATATAATATAATATGAATATAGGAATATGCTGGTTAATAATAAAAAAAATTCCTGTAGTTACCTTTGATTTCTTGGGGAGAACTTGCGATCCTTCTGGGGCAACAGGGACTTCGGCTCCTTTTGAAGCAATGGGGACTTTGATTCTTTTTGGGGCAACAGGGACTTCGGCTCCTTCTGAGGCAACTGGGACTTCGGTTCTTTTTGGGGCAACGGGGACTTCGGCTCCTTTTGAAGCAACGGGGACTTTGATTCTTTTTGGGGAAACGGGGACTTTGGTTCCTTCTTTGGGCACGGGTATCTCACTAGGTGTAGAAAAATATTTAGATCTTTTGTGGGTTTTTTTGGATCCTTCTTTTTTTGCCCAATTTTCCTGTGAGAGGTCGATGTTCGGTCTTTTTGAGGTGCAGACTGGCCTCTCTGAGAGTCTGTGTTTCAGGATGTGCTCTCTGTATCTTCCACGCAGTGAGCTGTACATCTTCCGAACAAATGCCCCAGCTCTAACTCTCAGCTTCTTCCTCATTATTGAATTTTTGACAATCCCAAACCACCTTTCTACATGACAGTTTGTGTCCCTTGTCTTTTTCATTCCACTTGACTTCTCACTTTCCTCTTCTGTATCCTGCCCTTTGTCCGAGGCATATCTCCTCAAATCCCCAAGCAGCACTCCACTCCACAAAGGGAATATCCCTAAGTAAATTTTAAAAAGGACGTCCAAAATCCCCGGGCAATAATAGCAGTTTGACTGACTGTTTGCCTCCATTTCTTCATTTTCAATGTCCTCTTCGGCCTCCTTCAAAACATTTAGAAAATGAAAATGAAAAGGTGATCCTTTCAAAATCTTTCCCATGTCCTTTCCCATGTCCATTCCCGTGTCGACCTCTACCTCTTTGGTGCTTTCACCCAACAACTGATTCCTGTTTTGCTCTTTGATGGCAGTCTCCAGATTGTACATGTGTTTTTTAAATAGTTCTCCTTTGTGTTTTGAAAGGAAAACGATGCACATTGAACGGAAGATTGTGGCCGCTGTTCCCAATGATGTGCAGTTCTGAAACCTGGCAAAGACAAAAGTGGCAAACATCTTTAGGTCTTTGTCGGATGTTTTTTGTCCAATTGAGGTGATGATGGATTTCAGAATATGTGCAGAGCATAAGTGGAGTACAGTATATACTTTGATACTGTTCCATGGCAGGGTTCCAGAGCATATGGCCATTGCTCTCTCCAAATAGCTCATGGCACTTTCTTTATTAAATGCCAAGAGAACTCCCTGCATTAATGCCCAGCTATAATCAGTCTCAATCTGTGCTATTTTTTTCTTTGATATTATTGTGAGATGCCTGTTGAACTGCATCAACCAAAAGGTAATTGGGGGAATTGAATGTTCATTTGTGAGCATTTCACACACAGGTAGTGGGGGGCAGTCTTTACCATCTCCAGGAAGAGTGAGAGCGTAATAAAGGACTTTTTTGTTTTGTCCTGGAATTTTACCGGCGACATTGCCTGTTGCATCCAGGTAGAGGACAAGCGGGGCTTTTTTTCTCAAGTGCTGAGATGCGATGTTCAGACTGGTCTCGGTGTATAAATGCACGGAAAATGGCTCCAGCTGAAAATGCTGCACATATCCAGGTAAATGCGTGTAACTGTGATCACATTCTTTTAGTATTGTCTGTATAAGGTGCATTTCCATGAGGACATTTTGATCAAGCCTACAGGTTTTCTGTAATTCTGATGAGATTACTTTGAGCACATTTTTACTCACCACACTGCTAAGATTTCCTGATGTTATCTCTGCTGTGGGTGCTCTTCGCATGTTCTTGTAAAAAACATTGCCTACACCTTGGTGTAAGGCCCTTGCAATGCGTCCTCTTTTTTTATTTGTTGCAGGTCTTGCTTTTTGTTGTATTTTGGAATGCCTTATTTGTCCGGATTGTGTGACTCTAATTGTAATATGTTTTGATCCAGCAGGTTTTTTGGCAAGTGTAAATTTGTAATTTGCCATGCACGACTTCAGCATGCATTTTGCAAACATATGGAGGAAAGGGCTCTTTTTTTTCCGACTATTTTCCAATTTAATGTGATGTTGTTTAAAGGAAAGAGGGCAGCATGGATTTTTTTTTTTAAAATAATCATAAATAACATTGGTCCATTCGGGTTGTAATCTAATACTATCATTTGCTGGTGCTATTTGTCTCCATGTTTTAAGAGGAAGTTTAATCAAAAATCTTCTCTTAACTGGAGGGCACTTTCTGTAATTTGTTTGACGGGTCTCATCTTCCTCCACCGTCTCCTCCTCTCCAGTGCTCTCCATCTCTCCTTCCACCGTCTCCTCCTCTCCAGTGCTCTCCATCTCTCCTTCCACCGTCTCCTCCTCTCCAGTGCTCTCCATCTCTCCATCCACCGTCTCCTCCTCTCCAGTGCTCTCCATCTCTCCATCCACCGTCTCCTCCTCTCCAGTGCTCTCCATCTCTCCATCCACCGTCTCCTCCTCTCCAGTGCTCTCCATCTCTCCATCCACCGTCTCCTCCTCTCCAGTGCTCTCCATCTCTCCTTCCACCGTCTCCTCCTCTCCAGTGCTCTCCATCTCTCCTTCCACCGTCTCCTCCTCTCCAGTGCTCTCCATCTCTCCTTCCACCGTCTCCTCCTCTCCAGTGCTCTCCATCTCTCCATCCACCGTCTCCTCCTCTCCAGTGCTCTCCATCTCTCCATCCACCGTCTCCTCCTCTCCAGTGCTCTCCATCTCTCCATCCACCGTCTCCTCCTCTCCAGTGCTCTCCATCTCTCCATCCACCGTCTCCTCCTCTCCAGTGCTCTCCATCTCTCCATCCACCGTCTCCTCCTCTCTAGTGCTGTCCATCTCTCCTTCCACCGACTCCTCCTCTACAATGCTCTCCATCTCACCTTCCATCGTCTCCTCCTCTCCTATGCCCTCTGTCACTCCTTCCACCGTCTCCTCCTCTCCAATGCCCTCCATCTCACCTTCCACCGTCTCCTCCTCTCCAATGCCCTCCATCTCACCTTCCACCGTCTCCTCCTCTCCAATGCCCTCTGTCACTCCTTCCACCGTCTCCTCCTCTCCAATGCCCTCTGTCACTCCTTCCACCGACTCCTCCTCTCCAATGCTCTCCATCTCACCTTCCACCGTCTCCTCCTCTCCAATGCCCTCTGTCACTCCTTCTACTGACTCCTCCTCTCCAAAGCTCTCTCTGTCGTGGTGGTCCATGTCTTCATCTGCTCCACTCATACAATCATCTTGATCTCCAGCTCTTTTTTGGACAGATCTAATGGCCAAATCTCTTAAACCTTGCCTGTTTTCTTTCCACGTAACCCACAGCCAATGGCAGTTACTTTTTTTAGAATTTCCAAACAGAGCTATGGATACTTGAGGCCATAAATCAGAAGTGTATGAGGTATCTCCATTATTCAGCATTCCGGCATTCAGTGCCCTAGCAATAGAATCCCTTCCACCAGCAATTTTCCATGGATTCCTCCTACATCCTTTCTTTGTCTTTCCCATCTTATATTTGATACCTTTACCTTCCCAGAAAAAGATTAAAGAAAACAAAGTCAACATTTGCAATGCACAGTTAATATACATACACATATTTTGCACGGTTATGTATTTTTCTGTATTATTGTGTTATTCTACCCCGCTGTTGGCAGCTCATGTACATGTCTTTCAAGATGTCATCTGTTGTGATTTATGGGCTATATAAAGAAAATTGAATTGCATTAGCACCGGGAGAAGTTTCTCCGTGTCTATGTGTGGTAAGTTGTGGAACAGTCTGGAGGTGCAAAAAAAGCATTTACCGTCTAAAATCTCTCAGTGTTACGTGCTGTGTACTCATGTGTCAGTGTGTTCTTTTTGCAGACTGTTTACAGTGACGTGATCCTACCCTTGAGATATGTGTTGTTACCATTGTTGGCAATTCTAAGTAACCCATGTGTGTAATGCTTGTGTGTGTTTTATATCAATGTACAGAACGAAAAGAAGCAAGTAGCTATATATATATATATATATACATATAAATATTATAAAACCTAATCAATAACCAACATAAACGTGGTACAAGATGCGTGTGTACTAGCCGTGGTGCGCGTGCACTACCCGCGATGCGCGTGCACTCCCCGTGACGCGCATGCACTACCCGCGATGAGCATGTACTACCAGCGATGCACGTGCACTACCCGCGAGGCACGAGCACTACCCGCAATGCGCGTGCACTCCCCCTGACGCGCATGCACTACCCGCGATACACGTGCACTATCCGCGAGGCACGTATATCCGCCGCCATGCCCATGTGATTTGATGTTCGTCCTTTTTTCTTTTATTTGCAATGTTTCGTCACCTTCAAAGGCCGTGACAGTAATTAGCCCGTATTTAAAATATAGGAGTAAAAAGTATACATACCTGAGGACAAAAGTACAAAAGTACTGGTCTTGACCGGGTAAATGGTGTAGTTTATAGAAGGAGAACCGTGATTGGTTGAGCTCAACTTTGCGGGAACGTCTCCGGAGTCGCTGTAGAGGCACGTGATTGCTTTTCGACTAAAATGTCTTTACCAAAACATAGAACGATATTACTAATAATAATGAAAATAATACTACTATTACTACTACTAATAATAATGAATGTTAGTATATATATATATATATATATATATATACTAATCCCGGTTCGAATCCCGGTCGGACCAGGGCCTTTCTGAGTGGAGTTTTGCATGTTCTCCCCGTGTCTGCGTAGGTTTCCTCCGGCTACTCCGGTTTCCCCTACCGCTAAAGATATGTACAATATAGGTCTGGCTTGCGCCTCCTTTTCGGCGACCCCGCTCCCATCTCTGTGTGGAGTGAGAGACAAATGCCCAAAAATAACAATTGTAAACCGCTTTGTGACTCTGGCCTGTGAAAGGCGGTATATAAATAAACATTACTTACTTACTTCAAACAGATTTAAGTACATTTGGTATGAATAACAATGTGTCATTACATTTGTAAATCTCATTTAACTTCAATTGGAGTGGATTTGAAATAGAATGTTAAAAATGCGATTAATCGTGAGTTAACTCATCATTACTATGCGATTAATCAACTAAAAAAATGTAATTGTTTGACAGCCCTAATATAAATATATGTATATATATACATATACACTAATATTCATTATTATTATGCTATTATTATATATGAAATGAAAGGAAAAACAGGTGTAGGATTATTATTATAGATATAAATGTACATATGCTCACCCATAAGCACACATAGGTATGCGCCACGTAACCAGACAGCCCCCCCATCGTCCCCATCACCACCACCACCATCATCACTGTAGTTGTAATGTTAAGTGCTTACACATTCATTTTTATACAAACGAAATATCTTCTTTTTATACATATATATTTAAATTGCAGAATATTTGAAAAACATGTGAATAATAAATAATAGGTTTAAAGCAGTTCCTTCCCTTGGCATGACCACCACCAGTAAAATAAGGCTGAGATTATAGACTAATGGTGAGAGGCCTCATCTATCAGTTTAAATCATTGTGCCCATGAGAGGTGGGGTTAGGTCTTACTGGTGCTTATACTCTCTATCTGACCTTCACGTGTCAATAATAATAATAACAAGGATGTAACACAAACAAGTGTTAACAAACAAGTAAACAATACCACAACCCTCAGAAAACACACGCACACACATGAAAAAAGCAGAGGAAGCACAATCTGAGGAGTGGTCTGAATCAGAAACAGAGAGCCTCTTGAAGCAGGAGACGACTCTGAACCATGAGGAGAGAGGAAGCCGAGGCTCCAAACCTCCACCTGCATGGTCAAACCCATGAGATATTTTAATTATTGATTATACCTGAGAATTTGGTGACCGCGCCCCTTTTAGAAAAAAAGTTATTCAAGATTTGTAGTCATATTTCATCATATTTAATCATAAAAATATAAAAAAGATATTTCTGCTGAAAACAAAAGTTGTAGTAGTTAGATATGGCAGTTATTGATGATACCTGAGAATTTGGTGACCACGCCCCTTTTTGAAAAAAAGTTATTCAAAAATCATATTCATATTTAATCATAAAAAATATAAAAAAGATATTTCTGCTGAAAACAAAAGTTGTAGTAGTTAGATATGGCAGTTATTGATGATACCTGAGAATTTGGTGACCACGCCCCTCTTTGAAAAAAAGTTATTCAAAAATCATATTCATATTTAATCATAAAAAATATAAAAAAGATATTTCTGTGAAAACAAAAGTTGTAGTAGTTAGATATGGCAGTTATTGATGATACCTGAGAATTTGGTGACCACGCCCCTTTTGAAAAAAAGTTATTCAAAAATCATATTCATATTTAATCATAAAAAACATAAAAAAGATATTTCTGCTGAAAACAAAAGTTGTAGTAGTTAGATATGGCAGTTATTGATGATACCTGAGAATTTGGTGACCACGCCCCTTTTGAAAAAAAGTTATTCAAAAATCATATTCATATTTAATCATAAAAAATATAAAAAAGAGAAAAATACAAAAAACAAAGGTTGTAGTAGTTAGATATGGCAGTTATTGATGATACCTGAGAATTTGGTGACCACGCCCCTTTTTGAAAAAAAGTTATTCAAAAATCATATTCATATTTAATCATAAAAAATATAAAAAAGATATTTCTGCTGAAAACAAAAGTTGTAGTAGTTAGATATGGCAGTTATTGATGATACCTGAGAATTTGGTGACCACGCCCCTTTTTGAAAAAAAGTTATTCAAAAATCATATTCATATTTAATCATAAAAAATATAAAAAAGATATTTCTGCTGAAAACAAAAGTTGTAGTAGTTAGATATGGCAGTTATTGATGATACCTGAGAATTTGGTGACCACGCCCCTTTTTGAAAAAAAGTTATTCAAAAATCATATTCATATTTAATCATAAAAAATATAAAAAAAGATATTTCTGCTGAAAACAAAAGTTGTAGTAGTTAGATATGGCAGTTATTGATGATACCTGAGAATTTGGTGACCACGCCCCTTTTTGAAAAAAAGTTATTCAAAAATCATATTCATATTTAATCATAAAAAAATAAAAAAAGATATTTCTGCTGAAAACAAAAGTTGTAGTAGTTAGATATGGCAGTTATTGATGATACCTGAGAATTTGGTGACCACGCCCCTTTTTGAAAAAAAGTTATTCAAAAATCATATTCATATTTAATCATAAAAAATATAAAAAAGATATTTCTGCTGAAAACAAAAGTTGTAGTAGTTAGATATGGCAGTTATTGATGATACCTGAGAATTTGGTGACCACGCCCCTTTTTGAAAAAAAGTTATTCAAAAATCATATTCATATTTAATCATAAAAAATATAAAAAAGATATTTCTGCTGAAAACAAAAGTTGTAGTAGTTAGATATGGCAGTTATTGATGATACCTGAGAATTTGGTGACCACGCCCCTTTTTTAAAAAAAGTTATTCAAAAATCATATTCATATTTAATCATAAAAAATATAAAAAAGATATTTCTTGTGAAAACAAAAGTTGTAGTAGTTAGATATGGCAGTTATTGATGATACCTGAGAATTTGGTGACCACGCCCCTTTTTGAAAAAAAGTTATTCAAAAATCATATTCATATTTAATCATAAAAAATATAAAAAAGATATTTCTTGTGAAAAACAAAAGTTGTAGTAGTTAGATATGGCAGTTATTGATGATACCTGAGAATTTGGTGACCACGCCCCTTTTTGAAAAAAAGTTATTCAAAAATCATATTCATATTTAATCATAAAAAATATAAAAAAGATATTTCTTGTGAAAACAAAAGTTGTAGTAGTTAGATATGGCAGTTATTGATGATACCTGAGAATTTGGTGACCACGCCCCTTTTTGAAAAAAAGTTATTCAAAAATCATATTCATATTTAATCATAAAAAATATAAAAAAGATATTTCTTGTGAAAACAAAAGTTGTAGTAGTTAGATATGGCAGTTATTGATGATACCTGAGAATTTGGTGACCACGCCCCTTTTTGAAAAAAAGTTATTCAAAAATCATATTCATATTTAATCATAAAAAATATAAAAAAGATATTTCTGCTGAAAACAAAAGTTGTAGTAGTTAGATATGGCAGTTATTGATGATACCTGAGAATTTGGTGACCACGCCCCTTTTTGAAAAAAAGTTATTCAAAAATCATATTCATATTTAATCATAAAAAATATAAAAAAGATATTTCTGCTGAAAACAAA